CATTCTTTTTTTTTTCTGTTAAGTACTAGGAATTGAACTTAGGGCTTTCTTCACACATTCTAGGCAAGGGCTCTACCACTGAGCTATACCCTCAACTATTTCATTTTAATTTATTTTTATATTATGTGTATAAGTGTTTTGCCTGCATGTATGTAAGTGTACCTGTGTCATGCAATGCTCATGGAGGCCAGAAGGTGGTGTTAGATCCCCTGTACCTGAAGTTAAGGATGGTTGTTAGCCACCATGTGGGTGCTGGGAACTGAACCCTGGTCCTCTGCAAGAGCAACCAGTACTCTTAACCACTGAGACATCTCTCCAGCCCCCAACACTTTCGTTTTTTAAAATTAGTTTATTTATTATTAAGGGGGTGTGTGTGCAAGTGTCAGGCCAGGTGTGTGGGAGTCAGAGGATAGCTTTGTGGAGTCTGCTTTGTCTGCTTTTTACCTGCAGAGCCATCTCACTAGCCTGTTTTGTTGTTGTTGTTTGTTTTAGGCAGGCCACCCTGTGTCCCCAGCTGGACTGGAACTTGCTAAGTAGACCAGGTTAGCCTCAATGTCACAGAGATCTGCTTGCCTCTGCCTCCAGGGTGATGGGACTGAAGGCCCCATGCTCTTCTGGATTTTTTGTTTTTGAGACAAGATCTTAAGTTTTCTTAGGAAGGCCTTGAACTTATATGATCCTCCTGCCTCAGTCCTCTGAATAGTTGGGATGATAGGTCTGTGTCACCAGACTCATTCTTTTATTTTGAAATATTTTTTTGAGCCCCTATTATGTGACAATCACTATTGTAGTTTTGAAAGAACATAAAAACAGAACCAACTATTTGACCTTTCACTATGCTTTCTAGTGGGGGAGACAGAAAATAAATTGTATTTGGCTATGTCTCATGGATTATTCAATTTAATTCCTATGAGATGGAATACTATTCCTATCTTAAAGATATGAAAAGGGCGGGGCGTGGTGGCGCATGCCTTTAATCCCAGCACTTGGGAGGCAGAGGCAGGAGGATCTCTGAGTTCGAAGCCAGTCTTGTCTACATAGTGAGTTCTAGATTAG